TCCTAAAACAAAGACCTCTAGATAGGCTGACTAGATCCACCAGAAGGACAAGTAGTGGGGAATGGTTGGGTGTGCCGACAACACAGCAGACAGTAGGGAAAGGGAGGCTATGGGAGGGTGCTATCTGAGAAGTGGGTGTATAGTTGAATAAGATGGTTTGGGATGTTCTGTGTGATATACACACACACTTACACACACACACACAAATCAACAGTTTTTTTTAAATGTACTATATTTGAGGAGGAAGCATGGAAATTTACATCATGGTAATTAGTAGAGGTGATAAAATTATCATTGAAATCTACCTGATGACTTTATATCCATGCTCAGATGCCAAGGAGCTCAGAAAGTAACCGATTGTGACTAGTAATAATCTGATATATAGAGATTAGAAACACATGTGCAAACATCCTAATGTCAATTGCATCAAAAATGAAATTTTCTACACGAAACTGTTATTCTAAAATGAAATGGAGATCTTTTTTAAAGGTTAAAAACCTCATTCAAATTTATGTCTTACAGGGCTTATACTGAGTTTAATATTGTATAATATAGACTGACTAGATTCACCAGAAGGGCAAGTAGTGGGGACTGGCTGGGGTGCCAACAACACAGCAGACAGTAGCAGGGATATCAGAATATAAGGGCTCTAGTGGGGGGAAAGAAGCTATGGGAGGGTGCTCCCTGGGAAGTGGGTGTAGTGTTTAAAAAAAATTCTTCAAAGCATAAAACTTTGCTCCTTAATAATTAGTAGATGTGAAAAACATTATCATTGAAATATACCTGATGACTTTATATTCATGGTTAGATGCCAAGGAGCTCAGAAAGCGACTGACTGTGACTAGTTATAATCAGATATATAAAGATTAGAAATGCGTGTGCAAACATCTTAATGTCAATTGCATTAAAAATGAATTTTTCTGTATGAAACTGTATTTTCATAATGAAATGGAGATTCTTCTATAAGGGTTAAAAACCTCATTTAATTTTATGTCTTATAGGGTTTATACTGAGTATAATATTTTATTATTGTAATAATTCAACTGTAAACTTAAAAACTCACAGCCAATTTTGAAAGAGATGCATCTTAGCTCAGGAAATTGTTACTGAATATGTCAATGCTGTTGCAACGAAATGCTTCTTCTAAGTATGCGGTTATTAAATAAATAATTTAAAAAAAATGAATAAAGTCATTTGCTTACCTAGTTCTGCAGAAGGAGAAAGTGGATACCTCAGTGTTTCCATCTCGGTCTTCTAAGTGGGGACTATTGCAGGAAGGGGCAGCAGGAGGAAGTGCCATCCACTGGAGAACTGTATGCAACGCATTTGGTTGTAAAGTAGTGTGTCAGATACTTGCCAGTATTCCAATTTATGTCCTTTACAATGAATTTTCAAAAAAAAAAAAACAATGGATGAAAAGAAAAGAAAACTCTCAATTTTGCTGTAACTTCTTTTTCCAGGTATTTTCGGACAGAAACTGGAAGACACAGTCCGATACGAGAAGCGATATGGGAACAGGCTGGCCCCCATGCTGGTGGAGCAGTGCGTGGACTTTATCCGACAACGTGGGCTGAAGGAAGAGGGCCTTTTTCGACTGCCTGGCCAGGCTAATCTGGTTAAGGAGCTCCAGGACGCCTTCGACTGTGGAGAGAAGCCCTCGTTTGACAGGTACACAGCTTGGTTTTACTGACATCCTTCACTGAGGTGCTCAGACTGAACAGAGGGATGCCCGGGGCTAAGTGTCCTAACTCTGACTAGTGTAATGGAAATTTAGAAGGTAGATTATTAAGTTTGACAACCCACACTTTCATTATTTTTATTAAGTTACAAAGTAGAAGTATGGCACTTTCTATGTTGGTTTTTGCTGTACATTTTTCCTCACCTTAAAACCCATTGTTACTTATTCTTTACCTTTAATACTAAATTAAAATTATATTAAAATTAGCACTGGAATAGTGAACTTATAGGAAAGGAGCCTTTCTATTTTCATTTGAAAAGTTATTTCAATTAAGGAGTATCGAAACATTGCTAACTAGGACTTGAGATCCTGGCAATATAATTAAAATTATTTTCAATAATTGCAACATTACATTTTAAAATGTATAGCTCTGCTTTAATCTAGATTATATTCACAAAGTAGCAAGAGGAAGTGTAGCATTGTGAAGTTTGGAAAGTTCCAGACATGAAACTATGAATCATCTGCATCAGTTGGCCATTATTAATATTTTGTGAAATATCATCTTTCCTTCACTTTAAAAAATTAATAGGATAATAATTTTTTATCCTAATAGTATTAAGCATTATATGGCAGAAAGGTTTCCATATTGACAGTTGAAATACACCCTTTTGTCCCAATATATTTTAAGGCAGCATTTCCTCTGCAGCAGTTTTATAAGTATCATTACATCCCAAAGCCCCGCCTCCTATAAGATCACACTGATGATCAGTTCTCAATTATGAACTTACAAGGAAAGAATAGTTACACCACTACATCCACAAATAGGTGTTCTTTATCTTTGAGAGTGTGGAGTTTTCACACAACTAGGCACAGTTCTGTAGAATAGACAGGAAAGAAGACATTTGAAACCCTGAGATGAGGGAAGCCTGGCCAAGTGTGTTCCACCAAAAACCCAAGACAAGCTCATGGCATCATCAGCACCCACTGTTCCCACCAACAAAACCCTGAATCACGATAATGCTCAGTGCTGACAGAAAGTGTTGAGGCAGAAACTGTCTATTGGTGAGAATAAACTTCGTTAAAGTCTTTTAAAAATAATTTAACCTATTTTAGGGTTTTTAAAAAGATATTTATTCTATTTTTAACTGTGTGTGTATGTAAGTGCAGGTGCCCTGGAGTTAAAAATTGTTTTTCAGAGGTAGTGTTAATTGTAGTTTTGAGTCATCCATACTGAGTACTGGCAATGAATTCCAGTTCTACGAAAGAATAGTATGCACTTTTAACTGCACAGCCATCTCTCCAGTCACTTTAATCAGTAATTCTAATCCGAGAAGTAAATTAGATATATTAGGAAAGTCTTAAATACCAAACTGTTTATTGCAAATTTTTATAATAGCAAATATAACATTTTCAACAGTCTGGCCAATTAAATAATGTCACATTCGGTTTAATAAAATATTATACAGTCTTTAAAATTTGGTGGAAAAGCTAATCACATGTTAACACACTTTGCTAACATTTCTGTTATCATAACAATATCTGAGAAAAACACCTTCAAAAGAAGACTGATTTTGACTCGTGATTTTGGAAGTGTGAGTCTGATCGTTTGATGCCATGGCCTTTGGGGCTTGCTTGAAATGAGGTAGGTGGTGATGAGGAGGGCATGATAGAGCACAGTTCACGTCATGGCTAAGACACAGAAGGGGAAGAGAACAGAAATGAGTCTTTCTGCCTCCTTAAGGGTGCACTCCCAATGACAGAAGACTGCCCACCTGACTCCACCTTCTAAAGCTCCCACATCTCTTAGAAATGCCAAGCTGGAGCTAGGGGAGGTCCCCAAATCTCTAAACTAGTACAAAATGACAAATGGAAAAATAATGCAAAATCAATTCCTTGATTAAAATATTTCCTTTATACAAAGGTTTTACAGACATCTTATAAAGATATGCATATTCCCCCCAATAGAAAAATATCAATTGTAGGGATAAACAAATGATTTAAAAACTAGCATCAGAGAACAAACTTCAAGACTGCCTGCATGCTTTGATCAGAACAACCACAGGTCTCACACTGTACTTTGAAACAAAAAACAAAACAGAGCAGTAGTTACACAGTGAGTTTTGTCCTTAGTGTATAAATAACAGCCTGGGGCAACTGTATATTTCAAATACAGAATTACAGAGAAATATGTCATACTAGAATATTATGTAATAGGATAAACAACATCTGCAATGGACTTCATGAGCCAACAAATAGTTTCGGCATCCTTTTTAATAATTTCTTTTAATTTTTACAAAAACTTTATTGAGAATTTCACACATGCGTATAAGGTGCTTTCATCAAATCCATGCCCACTCCCTCCCCTCCAACATTCCCCCCTCTGAAGAGGTAACCCTAAAATCTTTTAAGGATTAGATAAAAGCTCCCAAATACTTTTGACATTTTTGGCCTTTGGAACAGAGTGTGTTGCTAACAGGCCCAAGGACATTTTGACTTTTAGCCAAGAAACTGGCTACAGTTCTTTGGGGTCTTTTTACCCTAACTGCCTAGCCAATTCCTACCTCTTATTCTTATCACACCATCCTCTGAAGGGGTTACCCAAATTGCCAGACAGCTCTGGCTTCTTCCATGCTCAACAGGGACACAGAGTGAGGCAATTGGAGTACCCCTTCAGTGGGTCTATCTAAAAGACTCCCAAATTGCATAACTCTTGTCTCTAAGGGGAGAAGAAAGTCCTTGAATCATGAATAGTAGATGTGAAGGAGCAATAAAGGCAAGAGTAATTAGCATTACAAGTTCTAGACAGGGAACTAGAAACAAGTCGGAACAGGACAATTTTCAAATGTTCATATGAGAGCACTGGAATTTCTTGACAAGGGCTTCCAAAATCCCTCTATTGGATTCTTCCTCATTTTTAATAAATGAGCACAATCGTCAGCAAGCCTGATTGTGACTATATTTAGGGATCAGGCTCAGCTAAAGTCATGATGATGCTAATTATTTCATGCAGAAGGGACTGCTATATAGCATCTTCTTATTAAAAGGACCCAGAATTTAAAAGGATTTGGTGCTAGGATCCACATATGAGGGAGAACATATGTCATTTGTTTTTCCTGGGTCTGTGTTACCTCACTTAGTATAACAATTTCTGGATCCATCCATGTACCTGCAAATTTCATTATTTCATCTTTCTTTACTGCTGACTAGAACTCCATTGTGTAAATATATCACATTTTTGTTATGGGTCTTTGTTTTAGTTACTGTTCTATTGCTGTGATAAAGCACCATGGCCAAGGCAATTTATAGAAGGAAGAGTTTATTTGGCTTACGGTACCAGAGGAAAAAGAGTTCATCATGGTGGAGAGGCAGCCAGAGCAGAAAGCTGAGCACTCACATCTTCAAGTAGTCACAGGAAGCAGAGAGCGACTGGAAATTTGGCAAGACTTAAGAACTCTCCAAGCCCGCTCCTGACATGCTTCCCCCAGCAAGGTGCACACCCTAAAAACCTCGCAAAACTTCACCACCAATTGGGAACAAAAATGTCCAAATACTTGAAGCATGTGGGGGATATTCTCATTCAATCCACCACAGTCTTATACATTATAGCATGTTTATGAAAAAAAAATGCCATGATATGATGGCTGTCAACTTGAGATTTAGAATAATTAGAATCACCATGGAAATAGAGCTCTGGGCATGTAAATGAGGAATTTGTAGATTAGATTACCTGAGGTGGGAAGAAGACCCATCTTAAATGTGGGCAGCCTCATTACATGCCTGGGATCTCAGATTGACTAACAAGGAGAAAGCAAGCCTTCATTTCTCTTGGCTTCCTGACTATGGGTACAGTGTGGACAGCTGCCTCATGCCCCTGCCTTAGGACCATCTTAACCACAATGGACTGTACCCTCAAACGATGAGCCAAAAGAAACCTTCCCTTCTTCAAGTTGCACTTGTCAGATGTTTTGTTGCAGCAACAAGAAAAATAACTAATACACATTGGCTTTAGTTCTTTCTTTCTCTCTTTTTTTTTGAGACAGGGTCTCCCTGTAGCCCCAGTTGGAACTTACTATATAGATCAGGCTGGCTTCAAATTCACAAAGATCTGTCTGCCTCTGCCTCCCAGGTACTGAGATTAAAGGTGTGTGCCACCATGCCTGGCTCATTATTTTTCACAATGAACTTTGGTCAATGCAGGAGAAAAGAGGGATGTTTTATGTTCTTTAAGACACATGAAAAAATGAATGCTTCAGGGTTGGGGATTTAGCTCAGTGGTAGAGCGCTTGCCTAGCAAGCACAAGGTGCTGGGTTCGGTCCTCAGCTCTGAAAAAGAAAATTAAAATGAATGTTTCTTATAACCAGTTATTTCTCAATCAAATTCTCACCAACTATTGACTGAAAATGAATAGCATGCAATCTTTACAATAGGCTCTTTAAAATAGGTGCTTTCATAAAATATATGTATTTTTGTAAAAAACACACTGTATGTAAACAGGCTAAAAAAATATAACACAAGATTTGTATTGATTGTCAAGAGAGTCTAAGTGAGGTTGGACTGTGAGGCTCTAAATCTTCAGAAGTTCTAACCAGAGCTCTTGCTGTCACATTTCCATTTTGTGTTTCTTTGATTTTACTCATAGGCTATGGCTTTTATCCTTTTTTTCTTTTTCCTCTCCTGGATCTTTATTTTTTTAACTTTTAAAAACTTTATTGAGAATTTCATATATGCATATAAGGTGTTTTGATCAAATCCATACTCACTCCCTCCCATCTAACACCTCCCATATCTCCCCATCACTTTTTTTCTGACAACTTTCTTTCTTTCTTTCTTTCTTTCTTTCTTTCTTTCTTTCTTTCCTTCCTAGAGCTTACTATGTAGCTCAAGCTTCCTTCCTTCCTTCCTTCCTTCCTTCCTTCTTTCTTTCTTTCTTTCTTTCTTTCTTTCTTTCTTTCTTTCTTTCTTTCTTTCTTCTTTTTTCAAATGGGCCTT